GAAAGATCAGCCATTCTGGGGGGCAGAAATCCAGCCCACAGTCAGTCCTTAGTGATGCCTGTAATTTTTTACAGTCCCATGCTGCTGGGACTGTCTTTCCAGGGCAAAGTCTTGAAGGAATGTTTTTCATCATGGAACCTAGGCTTTTATCTCAGGCATTTAATTAACATAAACAGAGCTGTTCTTCCATTGCTCCTCTGCTCTTGCTGTTGGCAGGCATCCTCCTAAGTCTGATACAGCTTTCCCATGTTCTGGCTGGTTTATTGTTCCCTTCCATTGTGATTACTTCTTATTTTCCCTAATGCTTGCACTGTGGTGCAAAACCATCTATTCTTGTAACTGAAAGCATAACGGCAATTAACAGTCTAAAGTGTCTAACTTGATTTAATGCAAGAAATGCTTAAGCTGTATTAACTTTTGAAAGATTATTGACATTCACAAAACACTGTGGTGCAGAAGCACTGCTTAGAATGCAACACACTATGAAGAGCTGAAATTTGTACCTTTGTTGTAGGTGGATGCTCAAATTTTATACTCTTCTCTATTTTAGTGACTTTCATTATGTCTTTTTGTATTTAATTTAGTTTAAGAAATATGTTTGTGAAGAAAGCTCTAGAGGAAAGAGATGATCTTACAAGTTTGTTAATTTTTAATTAAGCTAGTTACATGTTTGATTATCTGGTTTAATGTTTACACCCTCTCCCTGTAGGTTTGCCTTTTGTCACTGCTCCAAATAAGTTTGAAGCTCTTGCAGCTCACGATGCTTTAGTGGAGCTCAGTGGAGCCATGAACACAGTGGCGTGCAGTCTGATGAAAATAGCTAATGACATTCGCTTCCTGGGCTCTGGACCACGCTCTGGGCTGGGAGAACTCATCCTGCCTGAAAATGAACCAGGGAGCAGCATCATGCCAGGTACAGAGAAAACATGCAGAGAAAAATGACCTGTTTATTTTTTTTTTTCAACCACTGTATCTTAACAGATGTTTACCAACACTGTCACAAATGTCAGTAAGTCGGTGATTCTCTCAGGTTTTATCTACTGCACTGTTTTAGCAAAACCTATGTTCATAAAAATGCTTGCATAGCTGTGTGTTGGCTAGTGTATGGGGGAATGTAGTATCTGTAAGAATATGGCTTTATTAAGACAAGCATACTTCTCAAAGCTTTCTTTTAGAATTGCAAGATCTCTACAATTTTTAAGTAAAGGCTTTTCTGAAATAATCTTTAATCTGTCAATTGTAGCAATACTGTCGTGTAACTTGACTTCGGTCTCTGCTTCCTGGCATGATTAGTGTTATGCACTCATATTTTCCCTACTGCAGTGATCTCATTGTATGGGAGGATAAGAAAGCAAAAGGAATAGTAATCATTCCTTTCCTCTCCTAAAAAAATATGTACATAGGAATATTGTACATCCAAAATTATTCTAAGGATGTTCCTCCTTTATCATGAACTATAAAAGAAGTAGGTCATGAACATACTTGGCTCTAAAAAAGCAAACAATGAATGTTCTTACTAGGATTATGTCTAAAAATGATAAAACCATAAAACAAACTTGCTTGGAGGCCACCCTAACTTGGTCTGATTGTTTGGTTTGGCAGGGGTTTTTTTTGGGTTTTTCTGTTTTGCTTTTTTTTTTCTGACAGAGTGTACTAACTTTATCACAAAGTAATTCTAACAGATCAGTAATACTTTCCTTGAGATGAGTAAGATTTGGTAGGGGTCTCCCAGAAATGCCAACTTGCACATGTAAAGACAGGTTATAATCTCTTGACTATTAAGAACTGTGGTAATGAACAGCTGTAGCTCAATGCACATGTTGAGCTGTTGAGCTCATCCTCAAGCTTCCAGAGTCTTGGGAGATTGCTGAAGCAGCCATTTGTTTTACAAATCCTCACTGATATACTGGAATAGTGCAGTCAATTTAATATCATTTGTGTAAATAACCTTATTTTCTGTGGTGTACAGATACCCATGAGTAAGACAAATTACCTTTTACAGAACATTTTCTATTGAAAGTGATTTAGAAAAAGGCTGTTGGTTGATGGGTTGGTTTTCCCCCTTCTTTCTCCTTTGGTAACCTTTTTCTCTCCCTTTCACAACCAGGAAAAGTGAATCCTACCCAGTGTGAAGCTGTGACCATGGTGGCAGCCCAAGTTATGGGAAATCATGTTGCGGTTACTGTAGGAGGAAGCAATGGACACTTTGAACTGAATGTCTTTAAGCCCATGATGGTAAGTTCATAAAGTTTTACATATCTAGGACTTTTTAAGTAGTTGTACAGTCAGATAACTTACAGACAGAAAAAAACCTCAGTGAACACTTGAACACTGACAAGGTTGGGGCATCTGCAGCATCCCTCAGATACTCTTCCAGTATCTCACCACCCTCAAAGTAAAGAATTTCTTCCTGATACTGAGCCTAAATTTCCCCTTTTTTAGTCTATACCCATTGCTCCTTGTCCTATCACTATAGGTCCTGACAGAGTCCCTCTCTGCCTTCCCTGTAGGCCCCCTTCAGATATTGGAAGGAAAATAGCCTGTTAAATAGATGGAAATTGCAGGGAGGGCACTGGTTATGAACAAAGGTGACAGAATTTACAACTAGTAGTATCTAGAATAAATAATTGGTATTTTTTTCTTTGTCTTGTTAGATTAAAAACGTTTTAAACTCTGCAAGACTTCTAGGAGATGTGTGTGTTTCTTTCACTGACAACTGTGTAGTTGGAATCCAAGCCAATACGGATAGGATCAACAAACTGATGAATGAATCTCTGATGTTGGTAACAGCACTGAACCCACATATAGGTAGGTTTAAGGCTCGAAAACTTCTCAGAACATACAAAAATATTTTGTGGTAACATTATTTTGTACACTTCGTTTGTATTGTCACAATGCTTATAAGGCCAAGTCTGGTCAAAAGTTAACTTACTTCAACATCACCAGTTGTTGTTGTAAAAGCTGTGTCACTCCTTACAGTGGCCATGCCAGGGTATTAGAAAAATAACTGGTTAGAGTCAAAAGGAGATTGGGAGAATTTATGTACCTGTTTTCCTAAATTATCATTATTAGAGGTCAAGTGAAAGATTACAATGTGAGTTTTTTTTAAAGGAGAAGTTCCCATAAATCTTTGATCTACGTTAAGACCAGAATAACAAAATTTACTTTCACTTCAGATAAGGAGTAAACATTTGGTGTGCATTTCCTGCAAATTGGTTTAAGCAGTAATAGTAATACCTAGCAAATAATTTTCCAAAGACCGTGTCCCACTTTTCTCTCCCCTCTGATGAATCATCTAAAATTACAAATGGATAACCTGTTGGTTTTGTTTTGTGACAGGATATGATAAAGCAGCCAAGATTGCCAAAACAGCACACAAAGAGGGGACAACGTTAAAAGAAGCTGCTATAAAGCTGGGATTCCTTACATCAGACCAGTTTGATCAGTGGGTGAAGCCTAAAGACATGTTAGGTCCTCAGTAACTGATGTAAAAAAAAAGTGTTCTTAATATAAAAAAATAAATAAAACAAATATGATGTATAATCCATTAGTTGGAAAAGGCTTCTGAGATGACTGAGCCCAACCTATGACTGAACACCAGCGTGTTGACTGGACCATGGCACTGCGTGCCACATCCCGTCTTTCCTTAAACACCTCCATGGACAGTGAGAGAACTGATGCCTACAGAGACTCACCTGGAAGAGAGGCTAAACAGAGTTAAGAGGGAATAAAGTAGGTATTTATTAAAAGACCTTCAAAGGATACGCCTTGGGCTGTACAGGAACCCGGCTGTGGCTCTGCCCAAGATGGACACAAGAGGGACGACTAGCCATGAGTTTTTAGAAGTTTTGGTCCATTTACATATTGGGGTCAATTGTCAGGTTGTTAATTACAGCTTCAGGTTATGAAGTCCCATCCTGCCATACTGCTCTCCTCAGTTCGCTGCCGTTTATACTTTTTGGGCCCAAAGCTGCAACAGTGTCCTTGGTTCTCAGGCTGGAAAAGGATTATTTTGTCTAACTAAGCTGTGAAGAGAACTTATTAATACTATTTATATGAAGTTCAGAATTAAACACTAAGGCAGTACAGCATCTGGAGAATATGAAAGCTAAAACTTAAGGCATCACTACCACTTCCCTGGGTGGTCCATTCCCATGTCTAAGCACCCCTTCTGTGAAGAAATCATTTTAATGTCCAGCCTAAACCTCCTCTGGTGCACCTTAAGACTGTGTCCTTTTGTCCTGTCACTTCTTACCTGGGAGAAGAGCCCAACCCCCACCTGGCTACACCTTTCAGGCGCTTGTAGTGAGTGATAAAGGTCACTCCTGAGCCTCCTTTTTGCAGGCTAAACACCCCCAGCTCCCTCAGCAGCTCACGGGACCTGTGCTCAGACCCTTCATCAGCTCTGTTGCCTTTCTGTGGGCTTGCTCCGGCACCTCCATGTCCTTCCTGAATTCAGCACCCCAGAACTGGACACAGCACTCGAGGTGCCGAGTACAGGGGGACAGTCTTACCCTGCTGGCCCCACTATTCCCGATTCACAGCGCGGTTTTGGTACACTTTATATGTTTTCCCGGCATTTTTGACCGATCAGCGCAACTGGCGTTACGAGGGTGATGCTAGCTGCCGGCAGGCGGTGCAGGCCCAGCAGCTGGCTGCAAGCTGGCTACAGGGGGTGTGCTGGGGGAGCAAAGCGTGCCCTGAGCGGGGCCGCTGCCGGCGGGGCGGGCAGCCGGGACCCGCTTCCGGCTCCCCGCGGCCCCGCGCTTCCGGCTCCCCGCGGCCCCGCGCTTCCGGCTCCCCGCGGCCCCGCGCTTCCGGCTCCCCGCGGCCCC